TCTACAATTTCATTCATCAACGTATTATAGTTGTCTGAGTACAGATCTTTTATTTATTTTTGTTTTGTTCTGGGGGGTAGGTAATTAGGTTTGTTTGTTTGTTTATTTACTTATTTATTTATTTTAATTTTTTTAATGGAGGTACTGGAGATTGAACCCAGGACCTCATATATGCTAGGCATACACTCTACCACTGAGCTATACCCTCCCCCATGCTATACCGTCCCCCTGACCCCAAGTCTTTTAAATCTCCTTAGTTAGATTTATTTATAGGTATTTTATTCTTTTTGATGTAATTGTAAGTGGGATTGGTTTCTTAACTTCTCTTTTTGCTTGTACATTGTTAGTATATGGAAACGCAACAGATTTCTGTATTAAATTTGCACCTGTGTTTGTATTTTGCACCTTCATTGAATTCCTTTATCCGTTCTTTATAGTTTTATGGTGGTGGTTTTAGGATTTTCTCTGTATAGTGTCATGTCATCTTCAAACAGTGAGAGTTTTAATTCTTTTGAATTCCCTTTACTTCTTTTTCTTGACTGCTGTGGCTAGGAATTTTAATACTATACTGAATAAAAGTGGCATTTTTTTTAATACATGATGTGCTTTTATTTGTAAAAAAAATCTTCCCTACTTATGCAAAGAATATTGAATCTTATTTTCTTTCTATGTTTGGAATTCTGGCTGAGCTAAAAGTGGACATTCTTGTATGATGTTAGCTGTGGGCTTGTCATATATGGCCTTTATTATGTTGAAGTATGTTCCCTCTATATCCACTTTGTTGAGAATTTTTATTGTGAATGGCTGTTGAATTTCGACAAAAGATTTTCTTCATCTATTGAGATGATCATATGATTTTTATTCTTCAGTTTGTTAATGTGCTGTGTCACACTGAGTTGCAGGTATTGAACCATCCCTTTTAATGTATTGTTCAATTCAGTTTTCTAGTATTTTATTGAAGATTTTTGTGTCTAGATTCATCAGTGATACTGCCCTGTAATTTTCTTTATCGATAGTGTTTTTGTCTGGTTTTGGTATTAGGGTGATGCTGGATTGGTAGAATGAGTTTGGAAGCATTCTTTCCTCTTTAATTTTTTGGAATAGTTTGAGAAGGATAGGTGTTAAGAATTCTTTTTATATTAGTTACATCAACCTTTGAACATATTTGCTGCAAAAATATTTTACTTTTTGTTTAACTTTCAGTTTTGCCTTTTAAATGATATTCAATAAGTCAAACTTTGACTTTTTTTCTTATTGTGAGTTTTACTTACCACCTAAGTTTGGGAAGTTCTATTTCACTGAAAATTTTGCTGAATATTCACTTTTGTTTTTCTTCTACTTTTTTTTTTTAATATTTAACTTTGTGTCTGGAATTTACTTTTGTATATATCACAAGATGAAGATCTAAAGTGATTTTTTTTTAATTGTTGTCCTTGTACATTGATTTGTGAAGTCTCACTTATTACTTATTAAATTCGGTTTCTGGGCATGTATTCTGTTACATGGATCTGTAAGTTCTAATAGCAGTACCACAATATACAATTGTTTTAATATTATTTTCAGCTCTTCTGTATATACTTAACAGTTTTTAAAAAAAATTTTGTGGTAAATATAAATAAGATAAACTTTGCCATTTTTAACCATTTTCAAGTGTGCATTTTGGTGGCATCAATTATAATCACAATGTTGTATAGCCATCATCACTACCTATTTCCAGAACTTTTTCATCACCCTAAACTGCAACTGTAACCATTAAGCAATAAGTCCCCTTACCTTCTTCACCCAGCCCCTAGTATCATCCTCTTGTCTACTTTTTGTCTCCATGAATTTGCCTATTCTAGATATTTCATATTGGAATCATAATAATATTTGTTCTTTTGTGTTTGGTTTATGTCACTTTTCATAATTTTTCAAAGTTCACTCATGGTAGTAGCATGTGTAGAATTTCATTCCTTTTTTGATTGAATAAGATTGGATTATATGTGTATTATCAAATTTTATTTATCCATTTGTCTGTTGATGGATTCTTGGGTTCTTTCTACTTTCTGGCTATTGTGCATAATGTTGCAGTGAACACTGGTGTTTGAGTACCTGTTTTCAATTCTTTGGAGGTATATACCTAAGAGTGGATTTTCTAGGTCATATGTTAATTCTAAATTTAGCTTTTTGAGGAACCCACAAAGCACTGTATGAGTTTCAATTTCTCCATGTCCCAGCTAACACTTTTTCTTTTTCTCTTCCTTCCTTCCTTCCTTCCTTGCTTGCTTCCTTCCAACCACCCCTCCTAGTATATGTGAAATGGCCTATCATTGTGGTTTTGGTATGCATCTCCCTAATGACAATCCTTTTCATGTGCTTATTGACCATTTGTATATTTTCTTTGGAGAAATGCCTATTCAAATTTAAGTTCTTTGCCCATTTTTTTTTAACATTTTTTATTGATTTA